TCTCTTGTTGCATAGCATGGAATCTAATAAAATGCGTATAAAGTTACCCTAATATTTTCAGGGAGCTTGTTTTGAGGGTGCGAGATGCATGGAAAAATTTTGTATCGAAAACTCAACTTAGCTAGTGAACACGAATCTCATAATGAGAGTGAACATATAGTTTTTTTTTTTTTTTCCTTTTTTTCTTTTTCCTTCTTTTTTTGGATTCAGTTGTTTTTTCATGTTCATTGTGCATAATATTACTTTGTAAGAAAAAATTAGGGCTTCATCTCTAACATATCTTGATCTATTAACCTACAAATTTAAAGAACAGAAAAATGAGTAAAACCTTTAATATTGGCACAAGCATTGGAATATTATTGTATATCCAAAAAAAAAATTGCACCCTTATCTTCTCTCCAAATAATTAAGATTCTAAAGCATAAACTGCATCATGCTTTCTTTCCAAAGCATTCACAGTTCCTCTACCTGGGAAATATATGGTTATTTGTTCATAGATATTGAAGAAAAATTAGAAAAGATCTCATAACCAATTTTCACCTAAACTACTTTAAAATTACTTCACGTCAATTAGGCATTTGATGATGAAATGAATTTTCCTTTGACATAAGTGCGTGTTAAAGAAAAATTTTAAAAGAATTAATTCATCCTAAATCTAGTTCTGGTTACTTTATTGAATGGAATAAGATTCTATTAGAAGTGGCAATTATTAACTGAACTAACCAAAAACAATTCATATCTAACATTCCATATTATACAGACTAATCATTAAAATGTTTAGTCTACGCTGAATCTGATCCCTTGCCTAAACAATTATGAAATTTGTGTTACACAACTTTTTAAAGAGAATTTAAACAGTAAAAGGTGCCTTCGTAAAAGTTACATCCATGAGTTCTATAGTTGACACGAAGATTGAAGATCACAGGAATGTTATCGACCAAACAGTATTCCTAAGTGATTACGTGATCAAATGTTAAGTTACTTATAAGTAACTTTTTTTGTCAAACACGCTTGGGTTTTTTATAAATTATTTTCCGGGGATAAGAACCAACAAGAAGTTAAACTTTATTTACGATATATTTGTAGTCGATTACATAAATCTTTTTCATGTACCTCATTCTTCAAATGTTTGATCTGCCATCATCTGCAGGCACTGGAAAAATACCTTGCTCATGCTTGAAAACATTCGGTGGATCTATCAGTGTCTTGGCTTTAACCAACCTGTCATAATTTTTCAAGAAATACTTCCATTGCTTCTCGATCTTTCAATTTACAAGAAATGCAACCACAACATTGTCTGCAGCAAGGCCATATTTTCTACATAAAAAGCCAAATCCACCCCCAGAAATTTAACCACAAATCCCCACAGTCGAGCAAGACCTTGCCGGTACTTGATTTAGAAATGGAATATTATGTCTGTTCAAGTGTTATACCACCTTCCACTGCACTCGTGATTTGATGTCCACGAATACTCGACTCAGATTCATCGTGTCGAGTAACACGAATGGATTTCCATCATAGGCAATATGCGAATTTCCTCCACGTATGACCATGCCCAAGGCTCCTCACTCTGATTTCCCAGGATCCTTTTCAACAGAATACAACACAGTTTGTTGTTGATAAAAATATAGGGAAATCTGAATACTTAATGAACTCCAAGGCACGAAAAAACGTTATCTTTTAAGAGATGTTTCTTCCCTATTCAACAAAGTCACAACTGGGGTATGATAGAAAATCTCTCTCGGGATACAATGGAGACGTTTGATTCAAATTCTGACTATTTGATCAAACCAAGAAGACACTTGAAAATAACTGATTGATATCAAGAAAAGAAAGAAGAATAAATTTTTTTAATGTGTTTTGCAAACGAGAATTCGCCCGGAATTTATAGAAATTGAGGCAACCGTTTGAATAGGTGTGTCCCTTGAAATCTTTGTATACATCTACTGGAGGTGACTGTTAAAAAAACGAACAGATGCATCTACTGGAGGTCGATCCCCGTTGCGCAGCGGCAAATACTAGTCGGGGCGAAAAATCATTTGCAAAACAAAAATAAATACATGCAAAATAATGAAAAATATCTAACATTTGCGAGTTGCTCTTCGCTCTCTAAAAAATAAAAAACTGCTTTTGTATATATTTGAATTGTATATATTTGAATAATTCAGTGAAAATGTTTTGTGTGGAAGCTCTTCTAAAGCAACTTGCTAAAAAAGCTTTTCTACAAGAAGTTAAAGCAAAAATTGTACCAAACTAGACTCTTAGTCACTTAAAACATGAAAGTGCATCAAATTCAGGTTACAACAAATTTTCCTCAATAAAAAAGGTTGTGAAACAAAAAAATAAAATTTTTATATAAAATTTTGAGGCAACTGCATGCAATTTCTTTTCTCACCATAGAAATGTTTTTAATAGTACACTTTTCTTAAACAACTTAACCTCTAAACGACCCTGATAGTTTTCTAGTTAGTCATGAACTCGAGAAAAAGAGGAGGATTGCTCTAAGTTGACCATCAACATAAAACTTTGTAACATATATTATGTAATTATTCTTAAACAGTTGAAACTCCTTAATAACGGATATGGCTTCAATATTTCAAAAATTAAATTAATGTATTTCCTAGGTTTATGATTAAAAAAAAATGGCTCATAGAATCTTAATTAAGAATTTTTCTTATTTTCTGTTGAATATATGTGACAATACAGTCCAACACTATTCAACATTGGTTCCTAATATCCATAAAAGGAAGGTGAATATTCAAATTTCTGAATTTTTATTTAATTCCATTTAGGGAATATAAATTTTACTTAATTTTAGCTTAAAATTGAATAATATCGAATCCACTTTACCAAACGACTGCTCAAATAATGATGTCTTTGAGTGGATTATTTGATAGAATCTTTGGATAATTTGTGCTAGTTTTTTCTCCAAAGCATTCAGCATAAGACAATTTTTCTATGTACCTCCATTAGTTTGCATGGCTTTGCATTAATTTCGAATTGTAAGCACCTAAAAACCCCTCTCGGAGCCAAATTCCATCGTTTTCTAGGATTTTTAGGCATTTTATTATCTTTTTCGGTGTTTTAGCATAGAATCGTTGTTCATTTTTATTACTCTAGTTTTTTCGTAATTTGTTTTTCATTCTTTTAGAGCTTTCTTGACTATTTATGACAATAAATCGATCTTCTAATCAAGGCGATTTGCAGTACAATCCAGAAGTAGAGAGAACTTTGCACAAGTAAAGGAGTAACATTCGGTGGAATTTCGAAGAATACGATCTTATCCATAATCCCCTATTTGCCAGTGATTCCGAGTGAGAGAAATGGGAAGTCATGGCTGGGACTCGAACTTTGAAAGAGTTTGCAGCTCCGGATTTGCATCAACAACTCTTATGCATAACTTTCCCCGGTCTAGATGATACTACTACATTTGAATCTAAATATGGACTAATACATCTTTTGCCTACTTTCCATAGCCTTGCATGTAAAGATTCCCATAAACATTTAAAGGAATTTCATATGGTATGGTTAGGAAAATATTATTTCGATTTAAACACCGCAAGTGTACAGTTCGTGAAAAGTAATAAAGTGGAATGTTGAGTTTTAAATATCGTCCCACAGAGATTAAATTAGTTCAATTTTTACTTATCTCGACCTTAACCGAAACCAATTTATTAGAAGTATAGCTATGGTGTGAATATAATTAAACTAACCTATGTATGCAATTATGAATTATTTAAACGAAACTAAAATGTAATTTACATTTGAACACAAGTTTGATGAATCTAATGGATAAGAGAGACACTAAGATCGCGAATCCCCATGCAATGATCCCTTTTAACCCTAGTTCTACAAATTGACAACATGTTTGAAGTTGAAGAATCATTGTTTCTATTTTATTCAACAATCTCTCTCTAAGTATTGTTGAACCTACTCTCATATACAATCCATTTATATCTCTATGACGGATACAAGAATACAAGAATGCATGGATTTTTGTGAACACATAGAGATTCACGTAGGGCATAGTACTATATCTCTATCCCCTATCGAACCCTACGATGATTCGTACCCTATCAAGCCTATTTCCCTTCTCTCGAATGCATGAAATACTCCACAAGATTCACAAAATCATGTGCACAATAACTGTGGAGAAAATAAGTGCATATAAATCATTCAAATTCAAAGAACGCGTTTTATCGTCAAGAATGTAAAACTAGAAATCAAAAGATTACATCACATGGTTCATCGTTCGCCTATTAAAAAAATATCTAGCCTAGGGAAAAATAAGAAAATACAAAGAAATCCTAAGAAACGACATCATCAGTTTAATGTTCTAATTGAATCTTCGTGTAATCCTATCGATGGTTTGTGTTTCTCTTTGCGTTTTTGCTCAAAATCTCCTTCAAAATATGTCAGAATGTCTTCCCATGTGTTTTCCCCTAAAATTGACGGCTCTAGGGATTTTTATATAAGTTCCAAGATTTGTTTCCATAAAAAGTTGAATCGCAGAAGAAAACTGAAAATCCCGCGCCAAATTAACACCACGCGACCACATGGTTCTCCCAATTCCGCCTCTAAATTCTCTGCAGCCTCCCTTGCAATTGCATGGAGGAAAACACCATGGGATTGCACGAAGTCTTCACATTTCCAAATTCTTCATTTTGATCCCCGAATTCCATTTTCTTAGTTCTTGATATCTTTTTCCATTTTTTTGTCTTCCAAACCCCATGTCTTCAATATATTAGTATTTAGCTCATTTGTATTCTCGTTTCTTCCTTCGGGTCATCTTTTGACTATTTACATTTTGGTTCTTAAACTTTCATTTTCTTCTAGTTGGTCCTTTTTCGTTTCCTTTCTCTTGAATTCTACCATATTTATAAATATAGTTATATAAAACACAATGACATAGAATTAAGCCGTATTCACACACTTTTATCAACAATTCATCATATTTTGTGGACATAATAAGTTTGTAAAAAGCACTTATCACGGTTTGCATGAGTATGAAACCTGGGGACGTAGCTGAAGAACAAACTAAATTGAGGGCCTCCCCATTTTCTTCGAAAGATTCAGCTAAGGACTGGCTCTATTATCTACCATCGGGGAGTATTACGACATGGAAAGAGATGAAAAGGTTGTTTTTAGAGGAATGCTTTCCATCTTCAAGCACAGCCAACATTCGAAAAGAAATATGTGGTGTAAGACAAGACAATAAAGAATCCCTACACAAATACTGTGAGCATTTCAAGAGACTATGTGCAAGTTGTCACCATCATCAAATTAGTGAGCAGCTTCACATCCAGTATTTCTATGAAGGTCTTCTACCAACTGATAGGAGTATGATCGATACTGCTAGTGGAGAAGCTTTGATGGATAAAACTTCCGTAAGAGTGAAGAACTTAATTGCAAGTATGGCAGCCACCTCTCAGCAATTTGACACTAGACTCGACACCTCATCTAAACATGTTAATGAGGTAAAAATTTCATCCATTGAACAATAATTTGAAAGTCTAACTTCTCTTGCTCTTCAAATGGCTATAGGTATTATGCAGATAACAAAAGCTTGTGGGATGTGTTCGGTGGTAGGACATTCAATGGATATGTGCCCACCATTTCTAGAAGATCCCATTGAAGAAGTAAATGCAGCAAGTGGTTTTCTTAGACAACTGCAAAGGAATTATGATCCCTATTCGAACACAATAACCCAGGATGGAGAGATCATCCTCATCTTAGCTACGGGAATCAACAAGTAAATCAACCTATGTAGCAAAATTGCCCAAAATTTCAGCAAAATAAGTAGTCATATTCTTCTGGACAACAACAAGGCCAAACTTCTAATTCTGGTATGTCTTTAGAGGATATTGTTATATCCTTTGCCACTAACACTTTGTAATTTCAACAGGAGACAAAGGCAATTATTCAAAGCTTGGAAAATCAAATGAGTCAAATGGCAACTGTAATTAATTAGCTAGAATCACAAAGTTTGAAAAAAATTACCTTCTCAATCTGGGGTAAACCCCAAGGAAAAATATATAGGTGCAATTGTATTAAGGAATGGCAAAGAGGTTGAAATCCCGATGAAGACAGTCCCCACAATGTCAAAGCAAGGAAAGGAGAAGATGTCACTACAGACAATGTGTTCTCCACGACGATGATGCACCTAAATGTAAGTTTCCATCTCTTTCTGGTTATAAACCCGTACCCCATTTTCCTCAAGCCTTAGTAGAATCTTGGGAAGGTAAACAAAATAAAGATCTATATGAAACTTTTCGTAGATGCGAGTTTAATATTCCACTTTTACATGCTATTAAACAAGTACCTCATAATGCTAAGTTTTTGAAAGAATTGTACACCATTAAGAGAAAACAGAAATTCAAGGGGTGTGAAAAGGTGAGAGTTGGGGAAAATATCTCTGCAGTTATTCAACGAAAACTCTCTGCAAAGTGCAAAGATCCAGGTATGTTTACTATCCTTTGCGTGATAGGAGACACAAAATTTGAGAAGGCCATGTTAGACTTAAGGGCTTCTATAAACGTCATGCCATATTCTATTTATACTTCTTTAAAACTTAAACCTTTAAATAAAATTGGTATCATGATTCGATTAGATTAGTTTTCCCGACTGATTTTTATGTACTTGATATAGAAACTGGTGATCAAACTATACCTATTTTGTCAGGAAAATCGTTCTTAAAAACATCCAAAATAAAAATAGATGTACATAAGACACACTTACAATGGAATTTGATGGTGAAATAATCAAATTTAATATCTATGACGCCATAAAATTTCTTAGTGATGATAATGATGTCTACTCTATTGATGTAATTGACTATCTAGCACAAGAAGTTTTTGAATTTGATGGAAAAGATACATTGCAAGTTGCCATTAGTGAGCATCCGAAGAAAAAGAGTGAGGAGCTAGCCTTGAGCGCTGACTTGCAAGAAACAATTGCAACATTGAATGATCTTTCAAGGTTACAACAAACAGGTAATGTTTTATATATTGCATTACCAGTTTTTAACGAGAAGTCATTACCTTTTGTCTTGCAAGCTCCCACTCTGGACATGACACCTCTCCTCGACCATCTTAAGTTTATATTCCTTGGAGATGGAGAAACATTATCGATGATCATTTCAAATGAACTGAGTGCATCACAAGAAGACAAATTGGTGCAAGTTCTTAAGAAACATCAAATAGCTATTGGTTGGACAATTGCAGATATTAAGGGAATTAGCCCATCCACATGCATGCATTGCATTTTACTTGATGAAGAAGTAAGACCTTCCCGTCAACCACAAAGGAGATTGAACCCGCCCATGATGGATGTAGTGGAGAAGAAAATCCTCAAGCTTGTCGAAGTTGGAGTGATTTATCCTACTTTGATAGCAGTTGGGTTAGCCCAGTTCAAGTAGTTCCTAAAAAGACTAGGATAACCATTGTAAAAAATATAATGATGAGTTAGTTACCACCCGTGTTCAAAATGAGTGGTGGGTTTGTATAGATTATAGAAAATTGAATGTTATAACCTGCAAGACCACTTCCTTTACCTTTTATTGATCAAATAGTTAAAATGTTAGCTGGTCATTCTTACCATTGCTTTCTTAATGGTTATTCAGGTTATTTTCATATTGCAATTGCCTTGGAGGATCAAGAAAAGACAACTTTTACATGCCTATTTGGAACTTTTGCATAATGTCGCATGTCATTTGGTGTTTGCAATGCTCCAGCCATTTTTTAAAGGTGTATGGTTAATATATTTTATGATTACATTGAGCATATCATAGAGATCTTTATGGACGATTTTATAGTCTATGGAAACTCCCTTGATAGCTGTTTGCATAACCTTACACTTGTCCTTAAAAGATGCATAGAGACTAACCCTGTCTTGAATTCAAAAAAAAATGACATTTTATGGTTGAATAAGGCATAGTTTTAGGACATGTTGTTTCATCTAAGGGAATTGAGGTAAATAAAATAACAATTAATATTATTCAATCTTTACCTTACTCCTCTAGTGCGCAGAAAGTTCGTTCTTTTTTTGGACATGCAGGTTTCTACTACAAATTCATCAAGGACTTCTCCAAAATAGCATTGCCTTTATGCGAATTGTTACAAAAAGGATGTGGCTTTTGATTTTTATAAGGATTGTAAGAAGGCATTTGATAAACTGAAGGAACTATTGAATTCTGCCCTAATTATTCAACCTCGTAACTGGAACTTTGCCTTTGAGATAATATGCGACACAAAAAACTTTGCAGTAGGCGCAGTTTTGAGTCAAAGAATTGGAAACACATCCCATGCCATCTATTATGCTTCCAGAACTTTAAATGATGCCCAGAGAAATTATTACACAGAACTTTTAGCTGTTGTTTTTACTTTAGATAAATTTCATCCTTATTTACTCGGTACTAAAGTAATTATTTATTTTGATCATGCAGCTCTGCGTTATCTAATGACAAAGAAGGAGGCAAAACCAAAATTAATATGATGGATACTTCTTTTGAGTGAATTCAATTTGGAGATTAAAGGCAAAAGAGAAACAGAAAAAGTGTTGCATCATTTGAGTCGTTTAGCTCGCGTAGATGATGAACGCTAATTGTATGAAATATTCTCTGACGAGCAATTATTCTCTACAGGCATGACATCACCTTGGTATGCAAACATTGTAAATTATTTGGTTACTAAGATGACCTCTCATTGTTTGTCCACGGCCCAAAAAGATAAGGTCAAGAGTGAGGCAAAATACTATTGGAATGACCCCACTTATGAAATCATGGTACGTATCCAGTGATAAGAATGTGCATTATTAAAAATGAAGCTATGTCTATTATCACCTTTTGTCACTATTATGCTTGTGGAGGTCACTTTAGATCAAAGAGGACAGCGAGAAAAGTGTCAGAATGTGGTTTCTATTGGCCATCTTTATTTCAAAATGCATATTCTTTCTATAAGTCATGCGAACATTGTCAAATGACTGGTAATATATCCCAACAAAATGAAATGCCACAATCATCTATATTAGTTTGCGAAATTTTTTATATTTGGGGCATTGATTTCATGGGACAGTTTCCTGTATCTTTCGGTTATGTTTTCACTTTTCTTAATGTTGATTATGTCTCAAAACGGGTGGAAGCTATGGTCACCAGGACTGATGGTTCTAAGTTGTTGCAGATTTTATCAAATCTAACATATTCTCCAAGTTTGGGATTTCAAGGGCTCTCATAAGTGATCCAGCCACTCATTTTTTTAGTCGAACTGTGGAATCCTTGCTGAGAAAGTACAATGTAACCTACAAGGTATCGACTTCCTATCACCGACAAACTAGTGGACAAGCAGAGGTATCAAATCGAGAAATCAAATCCATTATTGAAAAGACGATCAACCCAATTAGAAAAGATTGGAATCTACACTTAGATGATGCTTTGTGGGCATACATATAAGACACCCATTGGCATGTCACCTTACCAGTTAGTGGTTGGGAAACCGTGCCACCTTCCAGTGGAGTTAGAACACAAAGCTTAATGGGCTTGTTTCAATATGACGAAGGATGGATGAGAGTGGAAAACATAGAAAGTCGCAACTTCAAGAATTAGAGGAAATTCATAATGACACCTATAAGAGTCCAAAGATTTACAAGGAAAAGACGAAGGCTTTCCATGACAAGATGATCTTTAGCAAGGAGTTTAAAGTTAGTCAAAAAGTCCTTCTATACCATTCCAGGCTTCATTAATTTTCAGGTAGGTTGCTTTATCGTTGGATTGGACCATTTTTTGTTCTAATGCTTTTCCTCATGGTGCAGTTGAAATTCAAAGTTTGGTAACTTCAAAAGTTTTCAAGGTGAATGGCCATAAACTCAAACCTTTCTATGAAGGCTTCTAAGTAGAGGGCGTGACAACAGTGGACCTTAAACATCCAATTTATACTAGCTAAATAAGGAAGCAACAAGTCTAGCCAAAGAAAATAAACAAAGGCGCTGCTTGGGAGACTATCTAAAGGAAGTTCGTTCCTTTCTATTTTTTTTTTATCCCTATATAATTATCTAATATTGGGCCCTCTCATTGGGCTTGAAACTTGGTCCGGCCTATA